TGTGGCTCAAGAATTTTATTACTGAGCTTGGAGTGGTTCCTAGCATCAAGAACCCTATACCGTTGTTTTGCGACAACAATGGGGCAATTGCACAAGCGAAAGAACCTCGGTCTCACCAGAAGACCAAACACATCGTTAGACGTTATCACATCATACGAGAAATCGTTGCACGTGGGGACGTTGAGATTTGCAAGATAGGTACAGACAACAATATTGCGGATCCGTTGACGAAGGCTTTGGGAAAGCCTAAACACGAGAGTCATACGTGGTCCATGGGCATTCGAGAAATTCTTGATTGGCCTTAGGGCAAGTGGGAGATTGTTGTATTTAGGTGCCCTAGCGGCAATCAAATACCTATGTAACTGTACACTTTATCATGAATGAAAGGCCTTGAAGTATGTTTTATATCTCGTGTAACATAACATAGCTTTAGTCCATAGACGATAGCGCTTAAGTAACATTGATGAGGACTACGATGTTCTGATTATGAGACTGTTACTTCTTGACGAAGGCTGTGTCTAGAATATCCCTAGTCGCACGTTATGATACTACGGACGTCATAACGTATTAAGACTAGTACGAACGAGATGAGATAGTTGCGTCTCAAAGACTATAGGTATTGTGATATCTTAATCTGTACGTAGGTGCATATTATGTTGATAATATGTGACTGGATTGACCCATCTTGAGAATACTGCATGGATCTACAGTAATGTGTTTATCAGTATTCTCAAATCGACCTTGCTATAACTATCCTCAGACTTGAAGTTATTACATTCTCTGATATGTGGGGCCGTATGCTTTGATTCATAACTAATGCTATCTGAAATACTGGTAGACATAAAGTTATGCGTTGGGTATGCCGCTAAGCATATTTAGAGATGTGAATAACAGATACAGGATCTGTCCCTTCTACTGTATAGAAGTATAATGTCAATGGGCCCACTGAATAGTAGGACTTGGGAAAGTGCATGGCCATGCCCAGATATGTCGCTATCTAGAGACTGATAAATATCTGATCCCTGCCAGTCTACTTGAGATTCAGTAACAGCTGATTTAACTATACAAGGATACACATCCCATGCCTTGTGTTAAATCATGACATTTAGGACAGAAGGATAATAGTTATAGAA